CAAATTGTTATTTTCCAATAAGAATTTCCAATAAGTGTCTGCATTCCGAATCTTGTGGAGGTGGTTTTGTTGCTACTAACTGCTCCGCCATCTTCCCCTGAGGTCCTAGCTCTTAAAAACAAAAATTAAAGCCAGGCTGGTGGTGTATGCCTGTAGCCACAGCACTCTGGGAGGCTGAGGCAGGAAGACTGCAAGTTTGAGCCCAGCCTAGAGAGACTTAGTGAGATCCTGTTTCAAAATAAAAAATAAAAGGGCTGGGAATGCAGCTCAGGCACTGGATTCAGTCCACAGTTATGCAAAAAAAAAAAAAAAAAAAGGGAAAATGTGATGTTGACATGAGTATGCAGAACTCTAAGTAATGAGGAAAACCTGTTTTCACTTAGTTAGATTTGAGTTATAATTACAAAGATAACAGTGAGAAGGCTCCCAGACAGTGTCTTCTATCTGGGGCGCGCCTGTTGAGGATGGAAATAAAAATCCTCTTTGGAACCCTGAAGGCCCAACCCCTAAATAACTGTTTATTTTAGCTCCCTCCTGAGGAATGGGGACTGGGTGGGGTGGGTGAGAGGAGCAAAGCTCCAAGGACAAAGCCGCTCTCTCTTTAATGAGACACATAATAGGCACATTCTCTGCACCCTCAGTAATGAACACATAAATAGAAAAAAATAAATGGTCTTTCAAGCTGCTTGGAGCAGACTGTTAGTTCCCACTGAGAAGAGCCCTTGGCCTTGATTTGTGATGTTGGCGAAGTTTTTACTGGAAAGGAGCCCCACCACCGTCACCGTCTCCGGCATGGAGACAGTGGCTCCTCCTGAAGGAAGAAGGCAGCTGGTTGTGGTGGGATCTCAGTATCGTCCAGTGCTAAGGGGGCAACATCAGGTAGGGTTAGTCTTCCGTTTTACTGTGGTCAAGTGCACCCAGGTGTACATTTTCAGTGCATAGTTCCGTGACATTAAGTACGTCCACAATATTGTGTGGACCTTTGTCATCCCAAGCAGGTGAAACTACCCATTAAATGGTAGCTTTCCGGTCTCCTGTGTCTCTGTCTGTTTACCTATTCTGGGTGCCTCATACAGGCGAGCTCATACGGTGCTTACCTTCCATGTCTGATGTACTTCGCTTAGCACGTTTCCAGGGCTCATCTGTGTCATAGTGTGGGTCAGAGCTTCATTCATTTTAAGGCTCAGTAGTAGTCCATTTTGCGGGTACACTGGATGTTGCGTATTTGTTCTTTGGTGGACACTGGGGTTACTTGCGCCTTTTGGCGATTGTGACAGCGAACGATGCAGCCGTGAACATCGATGCCCAAGTGATCTCTGTGAGTCCTGCTTTCAGTTATTCAGGGTGTGCGCCTGGAGTGGAATGGCTGGGACAGATGGTAGCTGTGTTTAACTCTTTGAGGAATCACCACATTTGTCCTCAGACGTTGCAGAATTTTACATACATTGCCACCAGCTTCATAAAGTTCCCAGTTTCTCCATACCCTTGCCAGCCCTTGTTCTTTTCTTTTTCCTCAACTTTGCCTTTTCTTCCCTTCTTTTCTTCTTCCTTCCTTCCTACCTTCCATCTGTCCATCCGCAGTTACTTCATACTCCTGGTGATTAGGAGGTGGTATTTCTGTGGATTAGATTTGCATTTCCATGACAACTAGAGCATTTAAGCATCTTTTCAGATGCCTATTCGCCTTTTGCAGGTACTTTCTGAAGGAATGGCATCCAGTTCCTTGGCTGTTTTAAACTGGGTTGTGTTTTTTGTTGTTTTCAGCTCCTGTTCTCCTTTTATCTGGTTAACCCTAAGGGCTCTATGGGTTAGGGGGGTGCTCAGCTCAGCTGTTGAATGCAGTGGCAGACGCCCTTTGAATTGTGAGGGGCTGGCAAGGAGACCAGGACACTGTAAAGCTTCTCACCGCCACAGAAGGCCCCGCTGTGCCTCTGCCTTCCTGGAAAGGAGGGGTGTAGGGGAGTCCACTTCAGAGGCCAACCAGGGGTGGTCAGCCCAGCCCATGAAGACCCCCAATGGCTCATACTGTGTCCTAAGCATTTCTGCCCAGCCTACCTCCCTGCCTGAAAGTGACTTTTTTTTTTTTTAAGAGTAGGAAAAATTTATTGAAAGAAATAAAGCTTCTGTGTAAGAGGGACAGAAGGAGGACTGGAAGGTTGGTTGCCCCAGTTTCAGGTGACTGTTACACTGAACGGTTTTTGATGTGATAGAAGCAGAAATCATAAACACAAGGGCTGAGGTTGAAGAATAATTAAATCAGAAATGTAAGGCCGAGGTGAGTTTTTCCAAAGAGGAAACCTAGCTCTGAGTTTCCCAGAAACCAAAGCAAAAAGAGAAAGCAATGGACTGCACATTGTAATAAAAGGACACAAAGATTCATCAGAAAGAATGGCTTTCTCTTTCCCTTGTCTGTGACAGGAGCCACTGCACCAAGCAGCCACATTGAGAGGGTTGGAGAGTTTGAGCCTCACAGTCTGACCTGGCTTCGAATCCTGCCTCTCTGAGCCAACCACCTTGCGGCATTGTGGAGGACAAGGTGAACTCTGCACCTTAGCACGGTGCAAGGCCCAGAGTCAGCTTTCACATACTTACTGCCTTTCCCCACCATTTCTGTTTTGAGTGCCGCATCCTCTCCGGCAGCCTGGGTACAAAAGCTGGGCACAGTGGTGTGTACCTGTAATCCCAGTACTCTGGGAGGCTAAAGCCGGGGAATCACATGTTCAAGTCCAGCCTGGGCACCTTAGCAAATTAGCAAGGGCCTGTCTTAAGATTTTTTAAAAGGCTGGGACTTTAGCTCCGTGTGGAGGCCCTCGGTTCAGTCCCCAGTGGCCCCCCCCCCACCAAATACTTTTTAATGGGGTATTTAAAATCAAGGTAGAAGACCTCATAGCCCCTGGCTCTTTCTGAGAGGACCAGTGTCAGGTACCTTTCCCCTGGCCCTGTAGTTAATCTCTGTCCCCCTACAAGGCCGAGATCAGCTGCTGCACTTCTTCTTAGACAAAGTACAGAGCAGGCTCCTAGCACTGAGGTACCAGTTAGTGCGATTAAATGGTCTGGTCACATAGCCATTTTATGCCATCAGCTTTTTGTTGTTTTGAGACTGGGTCTCACTGTGTAGTTCAGGCTGGCCTCAAACTCTTCGGCAGTGATTTGAGTGCTGGAATTACAGGCATGCGCCACCATATCCAGCTCATGCTGTCAACCCTTCCACTTGCTTTTTTCCCTGTGAGTGTCCACAGTGCCCCCGTGAGTGTTTCCTTTTGCAGCTGGTGCTCAGTAACTTCACTTAGGGGCGTGGAAAGGCCATGCACCTAGGATGTGTGTGACAACCAGGCAAGGAGGCCTCCAGAGCAGAGCTCACTTTGTACAAACAGCTCTGGGGAAGGAGTCTCTCCATCTCATGTTGACTTCTTCCTTTGAAGAGAAAGAGTATTGTAGTCAGCCAAGTTAAAAATACTATAAGCAGTTAGACCAGGCAGGGCCCTCAAAGAAGTCAGTGTAGGGCCGGGGATTTCACTCAGGTTCCACTGCCTCCCTCCAAAGTGCAAGGACCCAAGTTCAATCCCTGGTACCCAAAACAAAACAAAACAAGTCAGTGTAAAAGACAGTCGTGACCAGAGACACATTTACTGAAGGCCAGACTTCAAAACAGAGAGAAACGTACTTCCATTAGGGATAAACAGCAGTGATTGATATTCTAAATAGGCATCAGTAACCTGGGTGGGGAACCAAGACCTTATCCCATCCCTTCCAGAAAGGTCCCTGATCCATCCTTCTTAGGAATCCTTTTTCTTCCATATAAGCTTGCTATGTGACCTGCTTCCCCATTTGATCCCCATTTAATCTGTATTCCTTAAACGACTAGTTGTAATCTTATTGCTTGACTGTAGTTTTGACCCACCTCATACCCATCTTGTGATTTTCCCACTGGATCAGTATTTCCTAAGTGACTATACTTGTAATCTGACTAGTTGACTATAGTTTCGGCCCTCCTTGTACCTGCCTCACCTCATGGTTTTGCTCTGTAAAACTCCCTTGAAAATCGAGGTGTGTGGGCAACCTACTTTGCAGACCCCTTTCTGTCTCTCTTGGAAGCTGTCTTTCTCTCAATAAATTCTTCCTGCCCCTTGCCTTCATCCAGAGTTCATTCTTTGAATTTAGAGAACACAAACTCTGCGTGTGGAACATCTAGCAGGTTGGAAGTTACACTGTTTCCCTTATATTATTTGGAGGTAGAGAAAACTCGCACCCAGCTACAGACGCACAACCTTCTCTGTAACCCTGGCCTCTGTCCCAGTTCCAGCGCCGGGCATCAGGACTCTCAGGGGCCCCTGTACCCTGCTGCACATTTGTCACTCGAACGTATCTCAGTGCAAGGGGACCTGGGGCACGTTTGATCCCATCAGGTAGTTTAAGGCTTCACTTGTAAGCTAAGTGCTTGACCTTGAGGCTTTTTTCACAGTCAGTGCTTGGGCAGTTCTAGAAAGAACTCTCCCTCTCTGTCCTCCTCCCACCTCCAATCCTTCCTGCTTCCCCCACTCCCTTGCCTTTTTCCCTTCTCCCATCTTTTGAAATCTTCTTGCTTAATAGGTTATTTTATATTTCTTAAGACATCTTTAGTTCCCAAATTCTTCGGAACTGTCACCCAGTCAGAAGGCTCTAAAGCCGCAGTGAGTGCACACGTCTGTGTGTGCGCATGAGTGTGTGCACGTGTGTGTACCTGTGCACCTAGGCACCTTCAGACACTTACTTCTGTGGCTATTTCTCTAGCAAAATAGTGAACACCAGAAAAGACTCCCGCAGACCAGGGTTTGGGTCCTCGGGGGAGTCCCTCCGGGTCTCAGGCCCGTTTCCCACCTGTGAGGAGGCCCTGATGACAGCACTTCCTGCGTGTGGCGGGCCTGGGGATTCACAGAACCAATCCAGGCTGAGCCCTTGGCCCTGGTGACTGTCACTTCTGCACTTTCTGTGAAAGTTTCCAACCTGCTTTTTGCACTTAGTTGAAAGGGACTTCAAGCTGGACTGCCTTTAGCAGCAACGCCCTCCCATCCGAATGTCCCGAGTTCCTCCTCATTTGCAGCCACGCACTCTGCTGGACCTGCAGGACCTCATCCGCCTCTCAGGACTGCCTCTGTCAGGCACCATGGAGGGGGAAGCAGCCTGCATTTCCCAGAGTTCTCACGCTCCCACTTTTCTTCTCTCTTGCAGCTGATGCATTTTTTAAAGCTGCTATAAGCCTCGTTCCAGAAGTTCCAAAGATGATAAATATTGATGGAAAGATGCGGCCGTCGGAATCATTCCTGCTGGAATTCCTCTGCAACTTCTTCTCCACCTTATTGATAGTTCCGGTATGTTTCCCCGGGAGAGCCAGAGGTGATGCCATTCTTTGACCTGCCTTATTTACTCCTCAGAGTGCAGGGTGCCTGGGCTGGTCACCGTGAGCAGCTGCAACAGTGAACCAGAAGCTGGCTCATAACTCTCATGGTTCTGGGGCTGGTACCCAACGTCAGGGTGCCGCTGTGCTTTCGCACATGGTAGGGAATGAGCCAGGGCAGCTCTCTGGCCTTTTGGGTCACTGGTCATCTGGAACCTAATCCACTTCTGAATACTGTCACATGGGATCAGGGTTTCACTGTTTGTATTTTGGGGGAGCACAGATGTCTGGCTTGTGCCCTCTGTGCCAAGGCAGGATGCCTGGTGGTCTGGGTGCAGCTTGGGGACTTCGTGGCTGTGCTGTAGTCCAGTTCCTCCTCCTCCTCCCAGCTCTGAAGTCTTGGCCATCACATTCCTGGGCTGCAGCTTCCTTCTCTCTAAAGTGAAAGCAGCAATAGTTTCTACAGCTCCGGGTTTTCATGAAGGATCGGATTAGTGAATGCACAGGCATAAGGCTCAACACGTAGTCAGCACTTAAAAAAAAAAAAAAAAAAGTGACATTCTTAGTAAATAACAAATGAAAACAAGCTCACAGAGGTTGAAAGGGGCGTTGTTGGAAAAATGCTGGGTTTTTGGTGGATGTAAGACATGAACACCCAAGCTTGGACTAAAGGCAGTCAAGTCCCCTTCAGGGACCACCAACAGCAATCCTGGCCACTCTCCTGAGCTGGGGATTGTAAGATCTTAGCTCGAGGGTCCTCAGTCTGAGATCTACCTGCTCTTTGGGGTTCTGGCAGAGTGACAATGAATTTGATGTGAAAAAAATGACATCTCTATTCTTACAAACCTCTGAGTGAAATTTGCCTTTCACCCAGTTATGAATTAGAGGCAACAAGCTAGAGTAATCACAGCAGCAGGTGAGACTTGTTTTTTAATTTTAATTTTTATGAGTACACATTTGTATTACACACATTCACCGTGGAGAGTTGGTACACATACGTAACTCATCTTAACTCCTTTTCACACCCCCCCAATCCCAAGTAATCACCAGATATCGCCTTGTCACGTTGCACATGTGAAAGAGATTTCCAAAGATTGTCCAGGATCTTCCTTCCTTAAAGAGCACCTTGGTAGTGTATCCTTGTGTGAATAAGGCCTATGAATGCATTCACAAGACTCAACAGACTGTTGTATCACAAATGCACTGGGAAAAATATTTTCACAACTGTATTTTAGTGTAATTGGTTTCCTTTGTAGTCTTACAGTATTTTATTTTCCATATTAAAAATACTCCCAGGAGTCCCTACCATAGGCTTTACCTGGCTGCTGCAGGGTCAGTTCCATAAAACACATTTAAAATCCCTGGCTAAGCCAAATGTGAATCTGAATTCTGAGATACTTGTAAAAATGCAGATTCCTGGGTCCTGTCCCAGAGAGTCTCCCTAGGAGGCCAAAATAGTCCTAAAAACCTTTTTGGGAACCCTCGCTGCACTTCAGGAGAAAGGCGATCCTAACGCCAGCTTGGAGCGCATCACTCAGAACTTGGGCCAGGAAAGTGACTCATTTCCCCGGGGGTGCACAGTTCCTTTCTGGGGTGATGACATGTTCTACCATCAATTGTGGTGATGACTGTAAACTCCAGACTACCCGAACAGTCCTTGAATTGTGCAGTTGAAATGAGGATATTGTTTGGTATGTGGATTATGTTTCTCAAGAAAGCTGAGAAAACAAATAGCGACTCAGCTGCGGGCTGTCCTTGTTCAGATTCCAGGTTGTCAGGGGAGAAGCTCAGGAGGCCTCACTCCAGGACTGCAGCCCAGGCCACAGGTGGAGGCCGCACCCAGGAGGAGGGGACTTGACATGTCAAGTGGGCACAGCCACAGGACACCGCTAGAATTCCTTCGCAGAATGCTGATTCCTGGGCTTTTGCATCCCTGGAATATTAAGTCTTTCTTCTTTGGGATAATCTAGTTATTTGTTAAGTGAGAAGACAAAAGGAAAACACTTGAGAGTTTCCAACGAGCCACTTGATGGCAATCATAGTTCAGTGCTGAACTGCTGCGTACTTACCGGCTGCACATAGAGTTTTCTGCCTTTCAAAATGACGAGTCTCTGGAAGGCTTTATCCTCAGAGACAGAAACTCAGCTTCAGTCCTGACCGACACTCTTCCTGCGGAGTGGGAGCTCCCCTTCCTCTCCGCCTTCCGCCTTCCCCCTAGCTCCCTGGTTCTATTCTTTGACAGTTTTAGATCCCTCGTCTAAGGGGACTCGTGCAGTGTTCATCCTGAAGCTGGTTCGTCTCACTTAGTGCGGTGTTCGTAAGGCTCATCCGTGCTGTGGCGTGTTTCGGCTTTATCTCTGAAGGTCAGCTGGCCTCCATTCACGTGTAGGCCCCTTCTCCTTTCGCATTTAGCTCACGAAGGAAGACAAGGCAGCAGCTTGCCAGGTGCAGGGAGAGCAGAGGGCACAGTGTGAGTGACGGCTCTGTGCTGGGAGAGGGTGCCGTGCACCCCACAAGGGCAGAGGGTGCTGGAGGGACGCACAGGCCGGCTCCACAGCCAGCAGCAGGCTGACAGTCAGTCCCCCATCTGCCCCTGCTCAGCGCCCCTTTGCTCTCCTGTGCTTCGCGTCTCACTTCTCTGCCAATAGGGTCTTATTACTTAACCAGCGTGCAGATCTCACAACAAGCTTGGCATTGTGTTCATTACATAGAAGTGGAAACTGAGGCGCAGAGAAGTAAAGGTCCCCAGCTTGTAAGTGACCCCACCAGGATCCCGAGCCCGGATGTCTGTGCTGTGCGGCCGTCTGCTGTCTCCCGCACTGGCCCTCCTGGGAGGTCGGTCATTCCTCAGGCGTTGCTTCTCCTGGCAGAGGGGTGTGGTGGGAGGGTCCTCGGAGACCACAGGGGCAGTGTGAGAGGTGCAGGTGAGGCTGCCTTGAGAGCCCCCCATCACATCCGCTGTCTGCCCAGAAGGCAGCCTGCCCGGGACCCCAGGGGAGCCCTCTCGCCGTGCAAGTGCTGTCTGAATCCAGGACCTTTATCTTCTCCTTTGAAAAACGCCATTGTTTTGCTTCAGTTGTTGGCAATGAACCATCAAAGAACATTTTTTAAAAATATTGCAACTACTGAAGCATGGATATCACTTAGAAAACCTTTTCCTTGTACAGCAAGATGGAAATAATCTCTCTCCTCTTCGGTTGTAAGCAAAAGCTCATGGGACTGGCTCACTGCAAACCTTCCCTTCCCCGCTGGCCCTTGCTCCGTCTTCCTGAAGTTGTGTCGAATGGTCTGCAAGGGTCATGGCATTTGGGTTGAAATTAAGTCGCTGGAACATTTAGATTGTTGTCTGTTCTCAAGGCGGACCCTTAAGTATATTTCTGAACGTCCACATAGCAGAACAAAATAGCCTAGTTAGAAACAGCTGTGAGCAGAGGCAGCGGCAGGACGCTTTCAGCTGGGCCTGCTCTAGATGGGAGGTGCTGTGTCCTGAGCAGTTCGGATGTGTGCATTGGTGGCCTTCAGGCTTGTGAGCCTTGTGTGGCCTCTTCTTGCCAGTGTCACAGGAGCAGTCCCCAGAGATGTGACTGCTTGTGCAGAACACCTCACGCCCCGACCTCACGCATGGACGGTGTCACTTCTGTGTCTGGATTGAGCTCTTGTTTCCTCAGCAGAAACGCCCTCATACTCCATGTCTTCTTTCCGAATGACAGACTTGCTGGGCACGCTGGCGCACTCTGTAATCCCAGCGCTGAGGAGGCTAAGGTAGAAAGATCTCAAGTTCAAGTCCAGCCTGGGCAACTTAGTGAGGCTCTATGTCAGAAACATTTTTAAAAGGCTAGGGATGTGGTTGAACTCCCAGTACTGAGAAAAGGGGTTGGGGGTAACCAAAGGCCCAAGTCCTGCAGGAGGAGATCAGAGCATCCCTGGCATGTGTGTTGGCCCTCCGTGGAGCCCCGTCCCTGTCATTCTACTGTGGACTGGTCTCTGGGGACTGTGGCCCCTGGCCTGCCTGCTCGCTTCCTGCCCATTCAGCCGACAGGAGGCGGGTTGGCGGCAGGGAGGTGATGTGGGGAGCCCCATCCCTCAACACTCCTGGGCCACACCTTGGCAGGGACTCTGTTCCTCCACTAAGGGCCACATCTCTTGCCAGGTGGCCTCTAGCTGCAGGGACCTCGGCTCCAGCAGCGCCTTCCCCGTGGCTGGCGACAGCGTCTGTGGTCTCCAAACCCTGCTGCCTTGCTTCTCTGCTTCCCTTCGCTCTGGCCCGGCCTCACCCGTGCCCTTCGTTGCACCTTCCCCACCTGACTTGGAGTGCCGCTGCGACCCCGGTGGTGTGGCTGGAGGGAGTGAGGGGACTCTGCGTGCCGAGCCCACATGAGATGCGGAGGTTGGCAGGTCTCAGCAGGGAGCCGCATGATCACACACTTACGCTGTCCACTTCTGTGCGTTGTGATCCTTTTCTCGGATGCTGTGTAGCATGTGAGACTCGTGCCAGTTTCCCAGGAGAGTGTCCACAATTTGACTGTCACTGCTGGGGAGCATCCCGGGTGCGGGGCTGTATTTAAAGTCAGTGCTCCAGTGGTGACAGTGATTGTTTGGGGCTTACCCCGAGGGTGGTTTCTGCTGTCCCATCTGCTGCAAGACCTACAATCTTGTTTTATAGTTGACAGAACAGGACTTATTTTTTTTTACCCTATTATAGAACAAGGGAGTAATTCTGGAAACAGGCATTATTAGACTGACGGTACCTACTTTCTCATCTGTCAGCCCCCAAGGGGGTTGACTAGGGTTTAAGCAGCTCCTTGTCGTTTTCTTGTGTTGCTTACCCAGGCTGCCTTTGTGGAGTGACTGGCGCTCTCATCTCTGCAGCTGCTAAAGGGAGGGGCCGGGGTTTCTGTGTTGACGTGGTTTTTCCTCCTCTTTCCTATGTAGGAGTATTAATGCTGCTCTGCTCCTCCACCAGGATCATCCTGAACACGGGGTCCTATTTCTCGTTCGAGAGCTTCTCAATGTGATCCAGGACTACACCTGGGAGGACAACAGCGATGACAAAATCCGCGTCTGCACCTGTGTCCTGCACCTGCTGTCCGCCATGAGCCAGGAGACCTATCTGTACCATATAGAAAAAGGTAGCGGAGTCCCTTCACGCCACCTTGCGCCATGCTGTGCTTGGATGTGGTGGTAGAGAGAATGTTTTCCTGACCTCTTTAGTTTCCTCTCCTCTGATGTTTCCACTACCATGAACTCCTAGTCAGGCAGTCTGCTAAATTTACCTGTTCTGACGCCTGAGGCCCCTCTTAAGAGTCCAGATCTCCAAGTCCCCTCCTGCCTGGGAATTTGTGTTTCACGAGCATCCAAAGTCTTTTTGACCTCAGCCAGGCTTGGAGCAGCACTCCTGTGTCACTGCTACAGACTCACCTGCCGTGATGACTCTGGGCTCACAGGGACGAGCTTTAGCCCTGGCCCCTTTCCTAACCTGTCGCCAGCGGGTCCTGGTATAGGTGTCTGGAGCCTGTGCACCAGTGATGCTGAGGCCCTGCCTGGCCGGAGCCCAGGGCCGGTGGAGGAGGGAGAGGGCCATTTAGAACTGGCTGGCAGAGGTTTAGGCACAGCCTCCCTGGGTCCTGCACACAACATGGGGTGGTCCTGCAAGCCTTGTCCCTCTGAGGCCCTGTGTTCTCCTTATCAGACCCTCAGCTCCTAGCTCTAATTTCTAAAAAACAGGGCTCTATCATTAAAAGTGCTTTGGCCAGTGATCGTGTTCTCTAGAGCTTAAAAAGAAAGGTCTTGCTACATGGAAGTTGCAGTGACCAAATCTTCAGTGCTAAAGGTTAGCCTCTGCCAGGACCCTCAGGCTGTGCTCGCAGGGATTTGGGGCTGATTATACAGATGTGACTTAGGGAGCCGGCCAGTGTTAGTGAACATGGCTGCCGTGACCAGGGGACACACATTTCTCCTGGTGGATGCCTGGGAGAGTCACTGGCTCCTCGGATTTGCTGATGTTCAGTTTTGGTACATGCTACCTCCCTGTTTCCGGATGCTCCAAGCCTTTCTCTCCTTTAATTGTCACAGCACCGCTGTGAGACAAGGCGGTCACATCCCCTTTGTAGATGTGAAGAAGGGGAGACCGAGAAGACACTGATTTACTCTAGGGCTCCTGGCCAGGGCACAGGTCACACTAAGGAGGCGGACTACGCAGCACCACCTCCTGTTACATGTCACGGTGTCCTCATAGCACGAAATATGTGAGCTGCCGTAGAGCGAACTCACCCAGATCAGGAAACAACGCATCACGTCCTCCAGGGGCTCTGTGTGGCCCATAGCAGCATCCAGACCCATGTCCCACCAAGAAACGCCCCCACAGGCCTGCTCTGCTGATTGCTGGCATTATGAGTGAATTTGCCAGTTTGGGTTGTCTGTAAATGAAATTGTCTAGCAAGCATTCTTTGGTGTGTGGCTTGAGCTTTGCCAGTATTGTGTATCCCTGTAGCTCGTCCTTTTGCATTGCTGTATAGTATTCTTCCATGAACACACCGGTTTCTTCTCTTTCTTGGGGTTTGCATGTTTTCAGTTCCATTGTGAGCCAGTTATAAATAGAGCTGCTGTGAACATCCTTGGATATCTGTTTCAGGTTGACACCTAGGAGGGGAGTTTCTGGCCTATGGGATGTGCTGCTATTCAGATTTGGTGCTTGCTACCTCCCTAGCTTCTAAGCAGTTGCACCAGCTGACGCTTTCACTGGGCCTAAGTTAGGGTCCATTCATTCTGTATCCAGTCTCTTTGAGTGTGGTCTCTTTCATTCTGATGATGAAACTTGCATGTGTCTAATAGCTAATGAGATTAAATTCCTTTTCCTTCATTCATTTACTGTTTCATTTCTGCTTTTGTAATGTGGACACGGAAGGCTCTGGACAGCAGAAGGTTTTACAGGGCATACAGGACACAGACGCAGCCTGAAACTCCCAGGGCTATCGGGGAGCGTGCTCTGCCCTGCCCTCTCTCCTCTTGGCAGGCTCATTGCCTCCTGTCTCAGAACAACATCTTTAAGGAAAGCTAAGGGAGCCTGGTTTTCTAGCTTTTCAATGCAAACCGAAGGGTGGATCAGAAGAGAATTCCTTCTTCCCAGCCAGCTGCTCACTCTGGATGCTCAGCTGTGACCTGACAGACATCTTTAATAGCAGGTCAGGCCCCCGGGCAGGCTGGTGCTGCCTCCTCCCTGCTTCCTTTCCTGTCTAGGCAGCCCTGAACCCAGGTTCGACTGAAGACTTCTGAAAAAGAAGGGTTAAATAATTTCTGCATCGGCAAAAGATGGCTCAGTCGCTTTGTTCCCAGACTGATAAGGAGACCGTTCTGACATTGTTCTGACATTACCTAGAGCAGTAGCCCAGCACTTTCCGCCAGGCTTTGTGAGAGTGTCCGAGATGTAGAAGTGAAAACTGTTCCTGGATACTGATTATTTATGTGTTTGATGTGCAGACAGAGTAGATCTCTGTTGGCAGAGGACAGCCCAGATGCTTCTACGAAGCCAGCCTTACTCTCTTTACTCTTCCCCATCCCCCGCCGGGCCCCTGAAGCATGTGGGTTTGTGACCCTCAGGTCAGAAGGTGCAGAGACCACGGGCTATTTTGGGTGGCCGTTTGCCAGGGGTGTCCTTTCTCCCCATCTCGAGGGCTGTGTCTGAACTCTTAGACCTCCTCTACACTCTGGCCTGACCACATTACTTCTTATTCTCAAATTTACTCCTTTCTTGCCAGGCGTAGTGGCGCACGCCTGTAATCCCAGCACTCGGGAGGCTGAGGCAGGAGGATCACTGTGAGTTCGAGACCAGCCTGGGCTCCATAGTGAGTTCCAGGTCAGTCGCACTACATAGTGAGACCCTGTCTCAAAAAAAAAAAAAAAAAAAAAATTTAATGCTTTCCCCTTTTCCGACCACCAAGTGTTAGCAAAAAGAACTTGCTGTCCCTGCCCTCTTTTCCCAGGCTCTCTAGTGAATTCAACCTTCAGGGCCTCTGGCTGATTCCAGAACTCCCCCAAAAGCCCAGATCTGAGGGCAGGGCCAGGCCAGCCTTGTCCCCTACTGGGTCGACCTGGTGAGGAGCCTTATGCAGGGAATGTCGTGTGCATGTGTGAATCTAAGCAGCCTGCTCTTCACTCGCCCCAGCCCCGCCTGCCCTGTTCTCCAGGGCCAAGCCGATCAGAGTGAGAGTCAGCATCAGCCAGGGCAAGACTGGGGCTTTACATACAGAGCTGTTCTTGGCCTGAGCCACAGACATGAGGAATTCCTTCATTGGCTACGGCTGTGCACTCTTCACAATCGGGTGGTGAGAGGCTGAATGAAATGCTTTCTCCTCTTACACAAACAACTGTCGTCCTCTACACAACTGTAGGCAGCATCAGCAGCCAGCACCATCTTAAGCATCCAGTGTGGAATCCCCGGTATCGTGGTGCACAACTGTGATCCCAGCACTCTGGGAAGCTGAGGCAGGAGGATGGAAAGTTCAAGCCCAGCCTGGGCAACTCAACTTAGCAAGACTCTGTCTCAAAACAAGAGAGCTGTGGATGTAGCTTAGTGGAATGGCTCTGGGTTCAATCCCCAGTACTAACAAAAAGAAAAGAAAAGAGAAGGAGAAGGGAAAGGAATAATCCCAGGACACTGGAGGAGCAATTGCCAAAGATGTGGTGGGCCTGCGGGAGTGGGCTAGAAATTACCAGCAGACAGCGTCTGGGAGCAGAGGAACCAGTTCTGATTCTTAAGCGATGTATCTGCAACCTACTTTTAAATGGGTCAGCAAAAAATAAATAAAATAAAAATTGCGTATTTGTGTAGAGTGAGCATGTGCGACAGCTCCTGGCCCATCCTGGATTGGTGATCCAAGGTGAGAGGTCGCAGGTGTTCACTCTGAGTGCTTGTGTCTACTTCTCTATCCTCTTGACATCTTTCAAAATAAAAAGCTAAGAAAAAAAGAATGAAGCTCTGCTGCTCCTGAACTACCAGTCAGAAATGAACGTAAAGCGGTGTGGAAGAGGTTTTTACAGTTAGTTGCTGTAGGTTTCCCCTCACCCCTTCCCCCGAAGAGTCCAGGCAGATGACAGGAATGCCTAGCATAATGAAAAACTCACTAAATGCAAAAAATTAGTTCCTAGGAAATTATACCTTAAGAAATATATGCCGGGCGTGGTGATGCACACCTGCAATCCCAGCACTCAGGAGGCTGAGGCAGGAGGATCACTTTGAGTTCGAGACCAGCCTGGGCTACACAGTGAGTTCCTGGTCAGTCTCAACTACATAGTGAGACCATGTCTCAAAAAAAGAAAGAAAAGAAAAGAAATATGTATGGACTTACATCTGTGTGCTTCTTTGTACGGCCTCCTATGTATACTGTTGTGTCCCTCTAAGAGTAGTTTCTAGCTACCTTTGAGTAACAGTAGATGGTACTAATAGGCCATGTACTTTGATGGGCTCCTCAGTAGTACTGTAGAGCATAAAGCATTTAATCAGAACTGTTTTGGTTTTTTTGTTTATTCATTACTACTCTGAGCTACATCCCAGTCCTTTTGTTTTTAATTTAAGCTAGGGTTTGGCTATGTTGCGCAGGCTGGGCTTGAACTCGTGATCTTTCTGTTGATGATAAGCATTTATGCTGCTTCTCATCTCATTATTGTAGACTGCAGTGCAAAGAAGATCACACACATATGTCCATGAGTACTTGCTGGCTTATTTCTTAAGATAACTGTCAATAATTTTCCCAAGTCAAAAGATTCAGATTGGGGGGGACACAAAGACTTTTTTTTTCTTAAATATTTTTATTATGATAAAATTATATGTAACAAATTTACCATTAAGTACACAATTCATTTGTATTGAGTACAGTGCCAGGCAGAGTCGTGCTCACCCATAATCCCAGCACTCAGGAGGCTGAGGCCGGAGGGTCACTGTGAGTTTGAGGCCAGCTTAAATTGCATAGCGAGACCCTGTCTCAAAAAACAAACAAAACATTTGTATCAAGTACATTATATTGTATAAACATCACCATACCCATTTCGAGAATTTTTTCTCTAACAAAGACCCTATTCCCAATAAATAAAACTCCCCCAGGCACTGGTGACCTTTATTCTATGAATCTGCCTATTCTAGGAACCTCATATGAGTAGAATTATACAGTATTTATCTTTTCATGTTGGCTTTATTTCGTTTAGCATACTCTGTCTTCAAGTGTCATCCAGGTTGTAGCATTATGAGAATTTCATTCATTTTCAAGGCTAAATAATATTCCACGGCATGGATAGACCACATTGTTTTTGTCCGTTCATATAATGGTATTTGAATTGTTTCCATCTTTTGGCTGTTGTGCATAATGCTTCTGTGAACATTGGTGTACAAATACCTTTGAGTGCCATTTCAATTCCTTTGGGCATATATCTAGAAAAGAATTGTTGGATCATTCTAGTCGTGTGTGTGTGTGTGTGTGTGTGTGTTGCTGAGGACTGAATCCAAGAATCCAGGGCCTTCCTGCTGAGCTACAGCCTTTTTTTTTTTTTTTTTTTTTTTTTTGGTACTGACATTCAAACTCAGATCCTTGTGCTTTCGAGGCAGGCAGTGGAACCACTGAGCTAAATCCCCGGCCCATCAGCCTTTTCGATTGATTGATAAGAGACAGCAGCCCACGACCTTTTCCAGTGTCCACTTCTTAGATCTGGGGTTTTATGAGAAATCCGTGCAGT